TCCCTAGCTGTTCTGAATTCTAGCTCTGACTGGCAACACAAAAAGTGGGATGTGGTTAACTGTGCTGCAACTTCCAACTGCTTTATTTGTATATTGTACACCAGGGCATTTCAGTAGCATTTGATTTGGGAAAAGTTAACCCGGATACAAAGCTCATCTGCTTAGCACAAAACTGGAACAGATTAAGGGAAAGGATTTCTGCTTCATTTAAAATACACTATTAGATCTCAGAGCTGTTTCTGACATGTAGTATAACGAACTGTTGCACTCTGAGGATTGTCACAGAGAATTCTTTTCTTGCATTTTTACATTCTCTCTAAGGTGCTGTAAGGTGTTAACAAACACTTCTTTTTTTGCCTTTATTTTTGCTGATAGAGTGAAAAAATGTCCTTTCGCCTCAAGTCCCATCTTGACTTTGAAAATCTGCTTCCACATCAACAATCCAAAGTATTTTTAGAAGCATTAATAATTCCACTAATAATTGGATAAACACGGCATTGCAATCAGTTTGGTGGTTAAAAAACAAATACAACTTGTGCTTGAATAAATACTAAGGATCTCTTACTTCTTACACCTTTATTCCATTCCTTCATATTGCTCAGTTTAAAAAGACACAAACCAAACTAAACAATACCAGGAATAGAATAATTACTTTTTCTAAAATTCAATGCCCATCAGCACCACATAATAGTGAGAAAAGGATTTAACCATACCCAAGTCCATGGCCTTACCTCAGTAGTACTTCATGAGTTGCGTGTTTCCTTATAGGCAAGAAAAATTTTCCTTTTCTAGCCAGTGTATCTCCTGGTACTATGCTGAAAGCAATGGCAAAGTATTTTCCTTTCAGAAGTAAATATGAAACTTTGGCTTTGATTCCTGCATAGCAATGCAAAATATTTTCAGGATGACCCAGAGCAGTAAAAGAAAGGAGATGTTATGAAACTGCAAAAGCAGCAGCCTCTACTGGATGACTTTGCCAAAAGTCCAACCTTAGTTCAATGAAACCTCTATATAATGAGCTCTAAAGGTTTATTTCACATATATTGCTATGTAAGATACCACTTATTTTGAATAAAGATGCTCAGTTCCGCTCAAGTAAATAAGTGAGAATATCTTTTGAGCAAGTGGAATAAATAACTACTTAGAATGATCAAGGACCTTGAAATTTAGCCCAGAAGGAATGGATAAGCTGAATTTTAAAAATTACAAAGTGCTTTCATTGAGGTTTCCACTTGAATTTTATCTTAAGTTAATACAAGTTATCTATGCCAAACATCTATGCTAAGTTTACAGTATTTCAGAATTTCTCTCTTAAGATGTCACAATTGTTGACCTTTTTCTTGAAGCCCATCTAGCCTATTCAAAGGATGGACTTTTTGTGCTGCTGAGTGGTTCTGTTAAGATTTGTTTTGTATATCTTCTGGAAGCTTCAACTGAAGAGTACCAAATAAAATGGAACTATGTCAATATACATTAATTTCAGGATGTACTTAAGTCTTACCAGGATTTGTGCTCATACAAATACAGGTGCCAAGCCAGAAGTGAAAGACATAAACACTGAAAAATGGCTGCGTTGTTCTTGAAGATTAATTGCTCTTAAGATGAAAGTGGAAAAAAAAAATCCCTGACATGTTCATGTAACTGAGTAAAAAGAAAACATTTTTCACCTCTTAAAGATCCCTTTGCTCCCTGTCACTTGTGCCTTTAGACAGCAAAGTTTCATGTCCAAGACAGTTTTGAAAAATTTTTCCATCAGTGTCAAAGGAAAAAAATAAAATCTTCATTTCTGATTTGCCCTATACGATTCCCTACAAAAATTAATTAAGAGATGTCTCTCTGCTGAGGAAAGTACCACACACTAGTGTAAAAGACAGTTCAGAGTATATCAACTACCTTCATATCCTCACTTGGAACCCCTCCTCCTCCTCCTCTTCCTCCTCTTTTATCACTTGGGTATCAAAATATTGAGATTAATATATAATGGCAATGAAGGAAACCATAAGATGATTTTATTTTGGCAGAACTTGTCATGTTTATTCTATGCTTTTACCTTGTACATTTCAATTACTCACATCACCCTCTACTGGGACTTTATATTAATACAGCTCTCTCACTAAAATATTCATCTTTATAGTATTACCCAAATTTTTAGTGTCATAAGCAACTTTCATATTTCAGTACTGTTTCATTAAGAAGTCTTCACAGATTTGCAAAGTTAGGTGTTTTTTAACCTCACAGCCAATCACCTCTCCATCTGTTTCTCCCTTTTGACTTCTCTTATATTATCGTTTCTATCTGGGATTTGTTCTCTCACTCACTTTTCACAATTTTCTGCCACTCTTCTCTGTGGCTAGTGAGCTGTACATTTTGTGGATCAGCACTCCTTTTCCAAATACCTATTTGTTAAAGGGAGGTTCAGAGCTGAAATTCACATTTCAGGCTTCTATCATGTCATCATCAGTCTTCTCCAGGTTTTGAAAATGTAACAGAAAGCCAAGTAATTAAAAAAGCAACAAAAAGACACACAATTTATTATGATTATTAATTCAACAGAACAGTCGTACAAAAATTTTTAGGATTCACACTCCCTAATTAGATACCTAAATTCTCATAATTTAGTAGTTTGTCAGGCACTTAAAAACCTTATAAATGTGATTCACAGGATTTTAGTACCCTAAACTCCACTCAAGTACTTAACAAAAATCCTTTCTGTTATTTCCAGCGTTTTAAACAAAAGTACTCTCTCACCCCCAAGCTACTTAAACAAATGGAATACTGCCACTTTGCAGAAGACACATTAAGGGATAAAAATGAGAGGTGCGGTTCTATAAGAAAAAAGCACCTTCTAAATGTCACTGATAAGGCAAATACACTCTTGCCTCATGCAGTGCTGTCACCATCTTACAGTCACACCACCTATGTCCTTGATTAAAACACTTTTTGCTCACAACTGCTTAGAATTTATCTTTGAAAGAAACGCTATTAATAGTGAAGCTAGCAAGATTTATTTGAAGAGAGTGCATTGCATTTTAACAAGACATGCAAACTGCGCACTCATGTAACTAAGCCTGCTAAGAAGTAAGCTACTTCTACTTCTACTTGGCATAAGGAATAGCAGGAGATTCTGGTTAAACTGCAGGATCTAGTAGGATTGCAATAGCGTCTACAAGCCATGTTAGTACTTACATCCAAGCTTCCTTCACTTGTAGATGCAGAACTAAAAGCATCCTCCTCACCACAATCTCTGTTCATCCCCAAGTGCTCTTCTGTCTGCAACACAAACAAGTATCCTACACAGCAGCAGCAAAGGAAACAAAACAGCAAAAACGTGCCAGAGCAAAGCATCAAACCTCATCACAGAACCAAGACAAACTGTCTCAGTAGTCCTGAGAAACACTGAAGTAGTCTGCAAAACTTCTCTCATGTAGGCAAGACCCTAAGAAATCCATTAGCAGGAAGATTTAAGAATAAGAATATAAAGAAACAGAACAATTCCTGGGCAAGGAGAAAAACAGGCAGCACCAGGGACCAGATTGGAAGTCTCTGCTATACCCACAGACACAGGGAAACAAGGAGAAAACTTCTTCCCTGTCACTTGTCAGTGATGCGACAGTTTCTGTGTGCTAGCATATACCCTGCTTCAGCCTAGACGCCATGGCTGTTTGCACAGGACCTCTGCTCTACTGGATTGCTTACCAGTGCTAATTTGATCTGGATTTAGTCTCAGGCACATGACTACATTTGACATCAAAAAGACATGGAGTTCATGCCACCTTTATGTTTTTTATGCCAGCTGCAGGAGAACAGAGGGTAACTGATCCAGAATAAAATTAGAATGGAGAGAACAAGATGATACCTGATCTGGCATTAAGCCTGCCAGTACAAAGTTAACCAAAGAAATACTTCCAATGAATTTGTATTAACCATGAAAATAGGGCTCTGCTTGCATTCTGTGTCATAGCGGTTTTAATACAGCAGAAAGATTTTTTTCAAAAAGTTAGTCTAGCGTATTGTCATAACATGATTATTGCTTTCAGTGAGCCAGCTGAGAAAGAAAGCACGTGTGTAGGCACAGAAATCTGAGCACAGGCCTGTAGCGTGCAGCGACACCTGATCCAGGACAGCTTGCAACACAGGCTCATACTCTTCTTCCCTTGCAAAAGAAACTGCCTTCCCCTTGTAAATGCCTGCAACTCTGCAGCGCTACTGCTGTGCAAGACTTTGGACAATTCTTGCTATTAACTAGTTCTAAAATACAGACTCTGCATGATCACATACATACACGCACGCACACACAGAAACACTGGAAACCAAAATGCAAACAAATAAAAAATTAAAAGAAATAAGCAGAACCAAGTCTTGTGGAGGAGTAAAAATGTAAGAGTAACTATAAAGAGCAGAGTTTAAGAACTCTGGGCCTGTGATTCCAGTGCCTTGAAATCACAAGGCACCCCATCATATAATCCCTTCATAAACCTACCAAAACTTTTCTTAAAAGAACTTAATTCCCTCATTCTGTTAACTATGTCTGTTCAGGAGTTTCACTGCTGTTTTGGCTAGCAATCTCCCACAACACCAAGCCAGATGTACTATGGCCAGTTAACACCTGCTTGCTCCTGTGTGCTGCGCTGCTCTCCAGTTCTCAGTAACTCTTCTATCTATTTGGGTTCAAAGTCCTAAAGGTTTCTATTGAAAAGGCAAAAAGGACTACCTTGCTGGACTAAACAAAATGTTTGTTTTAGTTTCTTTACCTAAAGTACTTGTCACCTGAAAGTAAGGGTCCAATAAAGAAATTACCTAGAAAAGCCAATTAACTTGTCAGAACTAGCAGCAAGAAAGACTTGTACCTTTACCTCAGATTTAGAAGCTCTTTCTCATACTTGTTTGTACCATTCCTACTTTTTTCCAGGTCAAATAGTACTTTTAACTTGTTATCCTGATCCTCAATATCCTTAGCACCTATTAAAATCTGTATTTTAAAAAACCTGAGTATCACCTCCTATGTCTATGATGAACAAGTATGAGGAAGACAATAGAACAAAAAGAGAGGAGTTTGCAATTTTGGGCCACTCATTCCAACTCAGCTGTGAGAAATCAACTGCAGCAACTACAAAATTGGGATGCTTCATAGCAAATACTTCTAAGGTTGCAAGCGCAAATATTTCACAAGTTAAATCTGAGCTGTTTCAGGACTTAGAACTCCACATTTCACACTGAATTTCAGGAATATGGAATCAGAGGACAAACTGTAATGCAGAAACTGCGTGCTGAAATATATTTGATTCTTCCAGAGGAACTACTGCCCCACAGTGTGCTCTATAGAGGCTCAAGTTGAGCTCCCTTGTTTACTCCAGGCAGAGACAGCATCATTGCTCCAGTTATGCTTTCGTTCCCTTCTAAATGGGAAATATTTTCTTACAGATGATAAACATTCTGAAAGTGACTGACTTCCTATCTCATAAAATACAGTTTCCGTGTGTCCTTTATAGGATGTTAAGAATAGTTCAGCATCCATGACAGATGAGGTTTTTCAACACAGTAATTCCCAGTGTCCATAAAGGAAGCTATTGTCCAGCAAAAGCACTCCAAATTTGATCATAATCAAAAGGGCAGAGAACTAATGAATATTTTTGAAAGCTTTTACAGTTTTAAAGACAAGACTGAGAAAACTGGAAGGGTAAGTGAAAAACCAGTCCATTAACAAGCATATGTTTCGTAGTACCTGTTAATCAGACACACATTTTACGATTTCACTGCAATAGCCTCGGAGGGCTTTTTAAACCACACAAAAGAAACTTCTGTTTTTATTCTAACACCCCAGAGTATTAAATACTCTATAATCAAAATCAGTTGACACTGGTATTTGTGGTGAAGGATGCAAGATGTATGAAGTTAAAAAAATATGAAGTTAAAAGCCCAGTAATTATATATGTTCTTAAGTTATAAAGTTTTTCTGAAATTTCTTTTTCTGACGAATGGGAAGTTTTTCGCAAAGGTATTTCAACCAAAGAAAATTACTTTATACAAAATTTCTTTTTTAATTTTTCCAGCTCAAGATTAAAAACCAAGTTTAAAATGCCTAACATGCACCACAGCAGATACTGATCCTTCAATTACTCTTTTCAGTACTGCAAGTTGTTTCTTCTACACATAATTCACTGGTTTTACAGAAGAGTTAATAAGCCACTTCTACTTGATATCTTAATGTATTCTATGTTGCATCAGTTTTCATAAATGCATTTTGTAATCTGAGCACTACTAATAAGTGGACATAAGTTGCATGAAGCTACTGCCCTTTGTTAACCTACTGAACCCACAGCATTTAAAAAAAATTAAAATTAAATTGTCAAGGTGTCTGACTCTCTCAACAAACAGCCAGTATCTCCATAAGGCTTCACTGATTACACATAGTTTATACATCTGCTTACAGATTACTCCTTGGAATAATAATTTAAAAAAAAAATTAAAAAGGAAGAAAAAAAAAATCAAAAAACCCTAAATGAACACCACCACCTGCAGAAAAAATACAGCTGGAAAGAAAATACATCTCTTTAGTGAGGTAGTACACTGCTGAACACTTACCTTGCTGCTTCTTCTATCAGCTTTAAACAATCCCAGAAGTCTTGTCTTTTCTTTTTCTATTGCATCATTGCTCACTGAAGCCTTTCGACTTGGTTCTGAAACAATTATAATGAGATATTTTTTACACTTCTGAAATGAAGATTTAGAAGATCAGTATTTTAAAACATCCTGGATTAATGCTGTATTTTTTTGAGCTAGAGGTGTTATAAACTGAATGATCTAAGTAAGTGCCAGATCCCACAATTTCTTTTTCATCAGACTGTTACTTGTTCTGAGTTTGTTCCAAAATCTAATGGAGACAAATAGAGTAATTTAATAATTTAATAAACTTCATTAAGTTTTCAATCACAATATAATAATCCTTTAAAAAGGCAAAACATGAGCAAGTTGCTTAGAAATGCTTATTAGCTAGAGTACTTGTGGAGTACTCTAATACCTATAAAAAAAAGACTTTTCAGAAAGATGATGGTGAATATCTTTAACAATCCACAGGCCTAACTTAACACAGTGAAGTTAATCGAAAAACTCTCAATGAGGACTCAGATAAAGCTCTATGAAGAGGAAAGAAACCTTTCCCCTGGAAAAAGGGCTCTCCACAGAATTTAAACCAGCTGGACGTGGTCATCTTTTCTCATCTCCGTGCTTTTACTTCAGGTGGGAAGAGAGGCAAGGTTGTATGCATTTCAGGCTGGAAGAGCTCAAACATGCACGTCCACCTTGAACCACCTCAGGAAATGTATGGATCCTCAGACAGTTTCGTCTTCCTTCAATTTCCCCCACACCAGCCAAGCTGGATGAGCAACATGATAAGGTCATGCATTACTGCTTTACAAACAGCTTTCTCTTGTACACATTTGCTTTGTTTAATAACAATTAAGAAACGAATGAAAAATGACTGGTTTGTTGGCACAAAAAGGTTTACTTGACAAAAAACCCATCATCCCAGACCAACTGTAAACTGATTTGTATTTCACACAAAGCACATGATTTTCACACAGGTCACTTTGCTTATCAACAATGTCAGGTGTTAGAAGGTGTTAAATACATATAGTAGTTCTAAGAACAGTAGAAGAGTAAAGATGATGAAGCCAGAGGAAAACAGGGAGAAACTATCCTTAAGAAATCTTGCAACTTCACTACAAAAAAAAAAAAACAGTAATAAATTAATACCCTTCTCAAATACTAAGTACTGCCTATGCTCATTGACCAGAAACCGCTGTTTTTCTGCTCATGGCTGGTGTGGGTTACGAATCCCTTACTCACACAGTCTTCAACTATGAGCTATGTCAGTAACTGCTGAACACCAACATTAAGCGTTGTATAATCCCAAAAAATTGGGATTTTAAACACAGCATGTCATCTCAAAACAACAAAGAATCTTTATAAATCTGTATCAATTTTTCTTAAATAAATACAGCAGACATTCTCTCTAGTATTATGCTCCGTATGAGGGCATGTCACAGCAAATAATGACAGAGGATTAGGGGGAGAAGTACTGGCATTAGTGAAGCCAAGAGGCAATAGGCCACAAACTATGTTTAGCTCAATGGTTGTCACCTACTGGAGGTAGACATCCTTCCTTCCTTCCTGAAAATTTAATGATGTTACCTACAGTTTTATGTTGGTTATGTTGTGTTTACTAGTGAAAAGTAAAGCGAGTTATAAATCAACCGTATGTTTCTGGAGGATAAATAATTTAAGCAATGTATTACAACAGACTCAGTCGCGGAAAAGGATATAGTAAGTATACACATTTTCTGCTTTACTAGAACAGAAGCACCCATGTAATCTCATCAAACTCCACCTACTCTAGCAATTAGAAGTCAGCATCTATTCAGTTATCCAACGTGTATACATAGTTTTGATATTAAAATGCTTTGTTACATGTAAACTGAAAGTAGTGGAAGATCTCACAGGTCTCAAAATATTCTGTCTTTGTTACTAAATAAATTTTGAACCCAAGAAACCTCTGAAACGTTAGTATTCCTGAATTTCAACTAATCATGCTTCAAGTAACCTGAAAAAGCTTGGAATCTGTACAGAAGCATACCACACCACACAACAGTTAAATGACAGGATTTGTTAATTGCTGGCATTTTAATGTCAACTACTGAAGAAGCAGGATGCACAGAAGTGTGTTTGTTCCGACCAGAAGCACAGACACATAAACAACATTTTGCAAAAGACAACACAGATCGAAAACAGCTAGTTTCTCTACAATGTTTTTTACGCAACATTTGCTAAACCCACATTAAACATAAGAGTGAAGGGAAAGTTGGTTTTCCCTTAGCAGCACTGTACAGTACCTCTGTAGTTCAGAGATGGTTCAGACTGAGTTTTTGACGGAGGAACTGGAAAAGGCAGGCAATGAAAGGACAAGAGAAGACATATTAAAGTTCTAATATTGCCCCATAAGCCACAATATTCATTAATTACTCCTAGTATTTCTTTTCCTAGGCATTACAGGAAAAAAGTTGACCAACAACAGACATGCAGAGTTGCTAACAGAGGCAGCCCAGCTGCATTTATATTCATTCCAAGTTCAGTCATGAAGCTGGTCTAACTGCTAACTCAAATTAGGTAAGCAGGTGGCAGCAGAGCTTGTCTTTTCATCATCCTTCAGCATTTGGTAATTCTGTTTCAGGGAGGGAAAGAAGGATAAGGAGGAAGTTTTTTCTAGAATCTGCTCTTACCAGCACAGCCTATGCTTTCGACACCTCTGATGCCTTACTTGTTAGTGGGAATGTGTTTTGAAAATCTGTCTGTTCTAATAACTAAACAGACTGGATGTCTACTCAATGCACAATTCATAGACCAACTGCTACTGAAACCTATAGGGTTATTCCTCTTGGAGATTACAGATGAGAGCAAGGGAGAAAGGAATTTGCTGAAAGAAAGGAAACTTTTTGTAAACTCTATGTGTATTTACTGGTTTTCTCATCAGACACCATGGTGCAGAGTAAGAGGGAGACGGTAAAGGCTGAAATACACTCAGGATCAGGGGGATTTTTTCATAATGAAAGGTTTACTGAAAGGTTAAAAAAGAGTAAAATAGAAAAAAATTCTAATGCAGAGAGCAGCACACTATTAAGTGTTACAACATTTGCTGCTGTAATACCAGCCCTGAAATAAAGTCTTGGTTTTGACTGTACAGGCTAGAATTGGATTTGAGGACCTATACTGCACCAATATATATACACCATCACTTTCATTTTAAGGGAAAAGAGTTTAAGGAAGGCTTAGGCTAATTAGTTTATAAGTTATCTCTGAAGTATGCTGAATGAATTCTGTTGAACAGTCAGCATGTTCAATATGTTACTTTAAAATGTTTACCTTAATTACAGTAAACATACCTTAAAAACCCAAACAAATGCAATTGAGTTATGACATGTTGTCAACCACTTTTTGAGCATCCTAACAATTCAAAGGAAAAGGAGATATTTAGTTTACTTAAAAGTCTAAACTCACTGAAATTTGACTCACACAGAGGTAGAACTGTCACTTACCAAAGGAGTTTGAAAGAAGAGACAGAATGTCAACATAAATAAATAACTGTATAAATAAAAAATAAGCCTGCTGCTTAGCACCTACAAGACTGACGTTATCTAAATAAATAAGGACATTTACTATGCTGGAAGTAATACCAATTGTGACAAACTGCTGGAGACAATTTTAATGAATATCACTTTCTGACCTCAAAGGAAGTAGCGCTTGTCAATGTGTATTTTTAAAGCAAGAATATTTTAAAGCACATTGCATAATTCTGCTATTTGAACACACAATCAGGCTGATAGAACTAAACCTCAAGAAGCTGCCGCTACAGTATAATCTATAAGAACGGAAAGTGAGGATGGATAGACAAGAGAACGAAATTTTAAACACAAATACCTCTTAGCTCCTCTTCACTAAACCATCAATAACTTTGCTCTTCAGAGGAACCATCTCTGAACCTATCCACTGTCTGCTTCTCGTAAGCCCTGGTCTGTTGCCTCTGCCGCTCAGCTTTCGCCGCTGCCATGACTATGGCATGTCTCCTCTTTCTTTCGAATCTCCAGCCCACAATGCAGGTAGGTGACAGGCTCTGCCTGGACGAGGCCCTTGTGTTACACACACCTGTACCAACAGCAGCTCCAGGAGGTAGCAAAGCTCCTCCTTTTGCCCTGCCCCAGGCCAACCTGTGCCCTGCCAGGGGCCAGCCCAGCCTGGCACAGGGCCTGAGAGCAGCCAGGGACAGCTGGGCACATTGCTGTCCTGCCTGGGCACAGCTCACTGAACACACACGTGCTGCTCTCAGGAATAAGATGTCACTCTGTTGTTTCAGCTGGGCCCAAAGGAACAGAAATGCTTTTAAGTTGCCTGTAATATTGTTGGCACATCATCTAACCCTGCAGTGACTGCTTTCAGTCTCCGTTTACCTCTTTTTCTGTCCCAGGCGTACAGCTCCTTTATCCCCAGCTCCTCCAAGGACTTGGTAAGCTCCAGCTCCTCCCCAGTGATGCCATCTCGCAGAAGAACAACGTGCTCCTGACTGACTTCACACTTCTCACAAATAGCTGGGATGATGCTGTGGAGAGGCACCTCTGGACTAACTCGAACCACAGCCTTCTGCGTCTTCAGGTAGTTCACTACCAGCCTGACAGATTTCTGCAAAACAAACACGAACTCTTAGCCCTCCCTCCATGATGGTTAAGCTCTCTTAGAAAGGCATTGGGGACTTCCATGTTGTCTTATCTCACACATGTATACCACTGCAAAAATATTATTTAAAAAAATAAATTAATACAAAATAATCTCAGAACTCTCCTGTCACTAAAGAGACATTCACAAGAAGAGGCAAGTCAGGAAAATTAATCAGAGGCAGTCATAATCTTTGAACCTTTACAAGTATCACTTTGAAAGATGTGAGAGGGTAATTAGCTATACTGATTCAGGATAACAAAAATTTCAGCAAAAATAGAATGTTTGTTTGGAAAATAGCTACTTCTGAATCTTCACAGTACTGTGAAATACATTTATTAACCATCAGCCTTCTTCCATATCTTCAACTAAGATGGCAAACAAAATACCATCTAAAACCTACCTCCACACAATCCCACAACCCTCATTTCAGCCACTACTGCAAATTTCAGTCACTCCGGTCTTTAATCAAAGGTCTTTATAAGAACAGATTTCCATCTGTCCAACCACAGGCAACATAAGATTTTGTCTAAATGCTGGAGTCGGGACGGGCCCCTGCCAGTCTGCGTGCAAATCAGTTAAGGCAGTAAAGCAGGTTACAGTCAATCTCAAGCCTCTCCCATCTGGTTTGAGGAAGCAAAGATTGAAAGAACCGCTTGAAGTCATAGGACTGGAATGACCTTTCATGGCCCCATTTTAGCCCTACAAAGTACCAACCTCGGGGACTCTTGGCAGAGGTCGCTTCGTCTTCTCTTCGGGAACCTTCTCTTTCAGAAGTACTGTCTCTACATCCAGTGCTCCTATCAAAGTGTTTGGCTTGTAACTCAGAGGCTGTTGAGCTCCCGAAGACTGCAGTTCAAGACTATGTTGGGATGGATTTAAGCGATACTGGCTGCACAAATCAACCAATAGGTCCATCACAGCTTTACTGCAGGGAAGAAGACATTCACTGTTAGCATGAAAAAAAACCCCAGTTGCTAAAAAATTTACCTCAGTTTTAATATGGGAGGGAAAAAAGACAATACAAGCTGTGGATGTGTCACTAGCTAACCATTTTTGGGAGGGAACTGCACTAATGCTTTGAAATGGTAAACAGATAAGAAAAAAATGCTAGGATTTAAATATATTCACACTTCAGTTTCTGTTTATGAGCTGGCAATTAACTATTCATTATGAGGCAGACAACAGCGCCAATAACAGCATTACCAAACACAAGCCAAGAACAGTCAAAGTGCATCTTATCTGCTAAATCCATTCACTAAATTCTCCAATTCAAACTCTGTTCTTTAACATGAAGACAAGATATAAATAAATTATGCACTCATGGTACAGTAAACTCTACCTAGAGTTGACGCATCACATAACATAACACAAAATGGAGCATTTAAATCTGGAACAAAAGGTAGACAGGATTTTTTTTTTCCAGCTTACAAGTTTGAGGTTTTCTCCCCTTCCTCCCAATCCTTTTGGCACCAGAATGATTTCCAAGTACAAGAGATCCCTTCCATGTTTATTTTGGTGAGGATATTAACCCAGTATAAAAACATCTGGTTTTAAGCATTTGCATTATCAAGAACTTTCATTGCGGATGTGATTCTTAAACCACAAGGTTAAAAGAGTCAGTCGCTATCCCTCTCTTTCACCATGCCTCTGCACACAGGTGACCTGTTTTGTGTCAGTAACTCAACATCCACTGGAGCTTGATACTGTCTGACACAGCAGATATGAACTATGAACCTCCACACTCCAGAAATTCTCCTCTACCAAGATACTGAAGGTTTGGTTGGTTGGCTTTTTTTTCAACCTTCCTCCCTAAAATTCCATCTAAGATCAGAAAAAACAGGTTTATTAAAACTGATTATGTTCCTGAAAAGTTTTGGTTTCATTAACCAGTATCTGTCATCAACAAAACAACAGAAGTTGAAAAAACAAGAGAAGTTGAAAAGAATTACCAGCCATACCTGAAGCCCATCATATACATGAGATATCTTTCTTCTAGAGGAAGTGAAAATAGTGCATAGACAACGTATCTGCCAAAGGAACTGGCATCTCTTCTATTGTAAAAACTGGAAAAACTGTATACAGATTGAAAATGTAACCAAATTCAAAGAAAATAAAATCCTTCACAGGTTATTAGCCACCACTATTAAATCTGTAGCTCAAACTGCCCTTCAATTGCAAGCTGTCAGCATCTGTGGAGGGCTGTCCATCTTCCTTCTATATGTATGTTCTTGGCCAAAAACTGCTGAAGAAGTTGGTGAAAAACCCTGGAGAGCTAATGGCAGAGAAATATGACAAGAATGGAAATGAGAATGATCCCTTATTAACAGGTGAAAGACTAAAACATATGTAGGTGACAGCTCTTCCCACACAAGAGATGAGAAAGGACCTTCTTTACAATAACCTGTTTCAAGTCTGACTGAGTTATGCAGTGTGAGCTGAAAAAGTGGCAAGCGTGGAACTTCTGAAACACATGATGGCATTGAAAAGAGAAGAACACAGTGAGAAGACGATGACTGAAGATCAAACAAGGAAAACAGACGTCATTAATATGTATAGGAGGCTTCTGGAAAAACAGAGCACTGTGGAAACTGCTAACATAGGGAACATATGAAGAGAAATGTGTCGTATCTAAACCAAAATCATATCAGGTCATTTCACGATGACTTGTTCTGACACTGTCTCCACGTTGCAAATGTCTGTATTTCACAACCACATTTAATTCATATGTAACATGCCACAAGCTAACAGAAACACCTACACCTACTGAGTCCAAATTATACAAGAACCCCACCTACACCAATATTTATATGAATATTCATTGTGCTGCACAGCAGTGAGCATTTAAAAAAGCATCAGTCCACCTGATATAGATCTCAGCTTGTGTTTACAGATATACCTCTTTTAAAGTTAAATTTGCATGTGCTTTTTCCCCTTAGTCTTATTACTATTGTTTCAGAGAAAAGCAAATAACCTGGCAGAACTGCAACACATGGTGTTCTACTTGCAAGACATTTCTATTTTAAGCGTAACACTAGTACATTTCTGTAGTGCATAATATTGTGATAACTCATTCAAATTTGGAGTTTTCTTACCTCATGTAAACTATTTCAATGAAAAAACTTGTTAAAAAAACAACACTTCAAAAAGTTGTTTTTCTTTTTTAAATACAGTTCATCAAAACAACAGTTTATGATTCCATGTACCTTGCACTGAAATTATGAAATATGTTCAGTCACAACAGTATCACAATTGAAACAAGATTACAATCCATGCCAGCCATCTGAGGAAATAGGCTGGAGACAATCATGCAAGTTGAACCAATTTGTACAAACAATTTAAAAATCAAGCCATTTGAGGTTTCATCTTACTGTGGATTACAGGGCAGGTGAGCACCAAATGTAATGTTTAAGGAAGTCTGCAACATCCCATCCTGAGCTATGCTGCTCAGAATACACAACTATTCCATGAAAAGCATCCCCAGGCTTCATCTGTACCACCTAGGAGTACAAATTCAGCAATATCTCTGAAACTTTTGAAACAGCTTCTAAGTGAATAGTGTGCTTTCCCCAAAATGTAAACTTGGGACAATAATTTCCACAAAACTTCAAAAAGATAAGGTAAAAAAAACCAACCAACAAACCAACAGTTCAGCTTGATTTTAAATTAGAGTTTTATTTCAAGTAACTCCATGTATGTGCTACACACAGAAGAGAGCCACTAAATACAGCAAGAGAACAGTACTGTGCCATCTACTAATCTAGACCAATTTTTCTTTCAAACCTTGGGCTGAATATGGCTCTTGGAAGATGCAAGAGTCAATCCTTCCTCTGCTTTCATTTTGCTCCAGACACTGCACTCTATTTTAACCTGCTTTTGAGACCTGGTAGCATATTCTGTTCTGAAATTCAGGGAGGTCTGATCATAAAGGACTAAATCTGAAGCTGAAATGAACAAGTTGAACGTCTCACACCTTTCCAACTACTCAGCTAAGAAACATATTGTTTTCCTATTTCAATAAGATGTTGCTGAAGTTTGTATGGAGAGTGAATACACTGTGACAGACCAAACCCTGATGACTGATCTGCAAATGCTAGAGCACAGAAATAAATCTGGAGGATGAACTTAAAGATTCAGACAAGATAGTCCAGACAACTATTCTTAGCAAAGGAAAATACTTCAGCTCTGTTCTGATATTTTATTACTAAGCTGTTTGACATTTAACACCAATTCTTAACAGTAAAAAATAACTATTCTGTCAGCAATACTTATCAGGTGAAGTCCTGATCAAGTTTGAGCGTGTTGGACGACCTGCGCCCTGTTGTTCACCAGTAAAACGCTGCAAAAACGTCTACAGTCTAAGAGGCAGAAAAAAACTGAATTGTTTTGGGTGCGGCTTGGCTTAATCTCCTTGGGAGCACAGAGTAATCCGTCATAACACACAGCCTTGTACATCTAGGAAATAAAGGTGTAGGATAAAATTGTACTCTATCAAATTACACTGACTTTCTTATTCCATTCTACTTTCATGGTACAAATGCCTATTAAAAAAAAAAAATCTCAAACTGGAGGAAAGACTCTTTATTTAGGTCAAAGGCAAACACATTAGGAATCCAAAGGGACGATTGGAAAAGAAAAGCAGTAGTGTAGAGGGGATGACCTGAAGTCTCTGATGCAGTCTCTGATGCACTATCTGCATTTAAAACCAGATTTATCATTCATTATAATTTTCTTATGTTCCAAAACACAGCAAGGCATTTCATGAAAAGATTAGGTTTTCCTACACAACCAGAAATGTATGCACAAAATGGCAAACTTCATAAAAAGTAGTATGGGAAGCATGATAAACAGATATTCATAAATACTTTCTATTTTCTTATTTTGCTCATGTATATTTGGCTCTTATTCTCCAAAATAGAGCAACTCCATAGAAAGAACATCAAGATGACACACAAGAAGAGGCAGAGGACTGGAGTTGTGAAGCCTCAAGATGAGCAGGGTGAAGGAAAACCTTGTTGCTGTCTGTAAGTACCAACTAGTAGGATTACAGAGCCAGACTCCTCTGGGTGGTGAACAGCAAGAGGACAAGAGGCAAGACACAAGTACTAACATAGGAAACACCACTTAGGTACAAGGAAACATTTTTTTTTTCACCATAAGGATGGTCAAGCCCCAGGACAGGAGTACAGAGAGGTTTAGAAACCTCCTTCCTGGAGGTATCCAAACTTGCCAGGAGACAGCCCTGAGCAAACCG